CCTTTTCCTTCTCCTGCTCCTCCTCCTCCTCCTCCTCCTTCTGCTCCTCCTCCTCCTCCTCCTCCTCCTCCTCATCCTCCTAATCGTCCCCGCCATCCTCCTGCAAAAATTCCCCGGCAGGCTTCCATAACGGTTGGGGGACACACATGGTCCGATAGCTTTGCAGAGCTCATGCCACAACGCTCGGACACATGGGCGATTCCAAACCTATTGCTCCCCCACGCGTTCCCCGAAGGCTTTCCAAACCGATTCGGGGAACAACTAGCCCGATAGCTTGGCCAAGCTCTAGCCCAGCTGTCGGCCACATAGGCGCTTCCACAAGGGCAGGGGGCAGCGGTAACTCGCCGCAGGCATCTTCGATAACGCCGTGTCAATATGCGCTGATGATTCCTATCCGCCCCCGCATGATGTTCCAGATGCGCCAAGGCAGCACCGAGACGCACCGATGCGACTCTGATATATCCCGTTCTGATCGAGGGGGCCAGCGGCAGGGAACGAAGCCCTCACATAGAAGAAGGGAGGAAAAGACAACAGGGGACGCGACGGAAGGAACAGAGACGGAGCAACGCCGAGCTCGTGTATAGTTCCTGCTTACGCTAGCATATCCACAAATGTGCAAGAAGTCTCGTGAACAACTCCGTGCACAAACCCCAGCAGCTGCCCGCACTTCGCAAGCAGAGCGCAGTCACAACCGCACGCCCTCCGCGGGGGGGGCCCCGCGGGAAGAAGCACCCGTCGTCCGCCACCAAGAGGCGGCGACTCGCGCATGGCGCGCCCACCCTCGCCCTCCTCCTCCTCCTCTTCCTCCTCCTCCTCCTCCTCCTCATCCTCATCCTCATCCTCCTCCTCCTTCTCCTCCTCCTCCTCCGTCTCCTCCTCCTGCTCCTCCTCCTCCTTCTCCTCCTCCTCCTCCTGACGAAGGGAGGAGGCTCTTCCCCAGCGCAAGCAGGCCGCATGAGGGGCGGACTTTTCAGAAGAAGCAGAACACACATGCACATAAACTGTCCACGGCCCGCGCGGACTTCTTGGCTCCGCGCTGTGCCTCCCTCCCTGCCGCGCGGAGCGCGCCAGGGGCGGCGCCGGAGGCACCGCCAGGGGGGGGCCCAGCGCGGATCTAAGAAGTCCGCGCGGAGCGCCAGAACTTTCTGTTTATGCCGTTTCTTCTTCTTCCTCCTCTTCTTCTTCTTCGAGCCGTCGGGCCGACCTCGCCCCCTGGCCACCCTCCCAAACCAGCGCGGCAAACCCCCGCCCTCCCCCGTGCCCGGGCCCGGCCCTGGCAACCGTCGGCGCTGGAACTCTGGCGCCGCTGCGGGCCGCTGTGATATGTGGGCCGTGGGTCGCCTCTTTCGAGGATGGCTTGAGCGGGAGCCCCCCTTCGTAGAGGCCTCCCAGATGGTGTCGAAGCAGATGGGCTCGGAGGATCTCGCCGCATCGTCGAGGCATCGTCGATGCATCGACGATGCATGAGCGACGCGGGCGATGCAGCGGCGACGTTGGCGTTGAGAAGACCGGGCGCCACATCGAGCCACACCCCCGATGCATCGGCGAGGCGGCGAGGTCCCCCGACCCCATCGGCTTCGACCCCATCTGGGAGGCCCAGAGTTTTCGACAACTCACTATCATGCGCAACGGGGGAGGCTGGGGGCCCAGACCCGCCCGGTTTCAGGCCCCAGACGGGCGGTGTCAGACCCGGGTTCGGCTCGGGGCGGGGCTGGTGGAAAATGCACGGGAGAAATAGCAGGAGGAGGAGCGGTGAGAGCGGGGAAGGCCGGGTTGGCGAGGGACGATGAGGCAGAAGAGGGCGGCGAGGAAAACGGAGTTCTGCATCGGCGGAACATTCGGAGTGCCGGTAGTCGTTCCAAACGGGGTCGACGGGCGCGGATCTCGTCGGCAACACTGTGAAGTACAGCCCCGCTGTCATCACCGTCGAGCGGCGGAAACCCATCCACGTACCACCCTTAGGGGGGGAAAAAAAAACATGACACCTGGGGCACATAGTTGTGATAGGTTCTGAGTGCGGGCTCGGCCGCTGTGCTTCTAGGCTTGCGCGTTGCTGATTTGACAGGCCCGTGGCCCAGACCTCTCAGCTCGGCGACCGCGAATCCGCGTCCGCCCGCGACCCAAAAAGCGTATCGTTGTGATGCTGAGTTGTTTGATGGTCCACGCGTCGACCAATTCCTGCGCCTCCGTAAAACAACGCTGGCCGCACCTGCCGGGCGCATGCCAGGGGCGCGTGCCGGGCGCGTGCCGGGCGCGTGCCAACACGCGCCGAACCAAGGATGGCCCACGCGTAGCCCTGGAATCCTGGAACGGTACGCTGCAGGGGCACGTGCTGCCCCCTCCTCCTCTCCCTCGCCAGGCTCGGAGACGAGAGGGGAGGCGAAGGAGGAGGAGGAGGAGGAGGAGGAGGAGGAAGGGAAGGAGGAGGAGGAGGAGGAGGAGGGGGAGGAGGAGGAGGAGGAGGAGGAGGAGGAGGAGAGAGCGAGAGAGAGAGAGAGGAAGATGGGAGAATGAGATGCAGAGGGGGTGGGGTAGAGTAGCGGTAGCACCGCCAGGGGCACCGCGTGATTGCCTCGTTTAGGATCTGCGCCTGGTGAGGCCCACCCACACGTAGGATACCAAGTCACTAACCCAGCGTCGATGTGAGTCTACGGCGGGTCGTCCTTTCGCCTGTTGTTTCTGCACTCTTGCCAAGTGATGCTAAGGCGGGTGGTGGTGGTGGTGGTAGGTGGAATGGGGTAAGCACTGGGGCTTACGGTCAGGAGCGTTTGCTTAGCCTGTCGCGGCAATGGCCGCTGCGACACGCTACGCCTTACGAGCTAATGGCGTGCCGCTCTGTTTCGTGGGACGGGAGGCTGGGAGGAGCTCGGAACGAGGATGCTTTGGGGCTGGGACGTGCTTACATGTCGCGCCGAAACGTGGACCAAAACCGACAGCGCGACACGCTAACAAAAACGTTCTGGACCGCCTTCCATGCCAAAACGGAACGGGCATGGGAAATCTTTCGATACTTGGAGCCGGCGTGCCCCCCCGTGAGGGTTATCCAGAACTGTTCCTCGAGGAGCGACGCACGTAGATATTCTCTCTTACTCCCCTTCAATGGCTTCGAGGCCCCCTTTTGATCAACTCTGCCGCCGCTGCCGCACTGCAAGCAGAGCCTGGGCGGAGCTGCGAGCGACCCGCCGCGAGAACCGCGCACGGCCTGCCGGCAGAGGCGGCGCCTGAGCCCCAACTCGACAGGCCCGTGGGCGCTCGCCCGCTCGGGCCGCAGCAAAAAACAGCGCGCGAGGAAAAGCGCAGATGCGAAAGTGCGAACATGCTGTCTACCAGCCTCGAACGTACCCCTATCCCCAAGATCGACACGCTCCAAGGCGATGACAATCTCAGGCATCCGCCCGCAAAGAGTGAGGGCATCCCCAAGACTGGCATCGCGATGAGGAGGTGCCCAGCCTTGGGGGTAGGGATATGTTGCAGGCTGGTAAGCCTGGGCTTCCGGTCGTCCCGCCCCAGCTGCGCCGCCAGGGCGTCCGGATCGGGCGCGCTGGCGGGGGCGCCCCCAACAAAAAAAAAAGGCCGCAGTGTTGCGAGCCTGGGCGCCTGCCGCTCGCCCCGACCGGGACGTCTCGAGGCGAGCGCCCACCTAGCTTTAGGTCGGGCCCGTCCTCCTGCAAGCCGGTTTTTTGGAGGAAACGTGAAAGGACAAACCTACTCCAGACTCGTCACGAATCGTCGAAATATCGTCCCCCTACGTTTTCCCCTGTGTTTAGAAGTTCCTCCTGTAGAGGGACATGCCCGATGTAAGCGTAGATCCCGTCGCGGCACGTCTCGGACTCCCCTCGTCCACTGGCGCCTCCGCGAACCCGCCGACCCGCCCGAGGCAAGGAGAGGCTGCCTCCCTTATGACCTTCTGGCCGCCTCCGCTGGGCGACGTCCACAACAGCGTCAGATGGCCTGCGTGCTTGATGGCGCGTGGGGCCAATGCATCCTCTTCCGCCAGGAACCTGATGGCACTGTCAAGACACGGCTCAGAGAATCAGCGGAAATCACACGAAGCCTACAACAAGCCTGGCTGAGAGAGGCAAACTCAGAAACGGTTTCCGCCGCGACTGCTCCATGAAGCGGACTACATACCTGACGCCTACAATAATTATGCAGAAACGGTTCGTATACCTATGCGGGAACCTTTCTATGATTGAGGAAATGAGCTGCGTTTCAGACCGCACCCACCATGCATTGAAGACCAACTGAATGCCAACAATGACGCTGAAGCCGACTCTCGTCTGGTAGCCTGAGACCCCACTCGCCATGCCCATGCAGCGTCTTCGCACATTCGAAACATGTTTTTATGGTTGATCACCAGATACCCAAATCAAGTCAGTCATCCCTATCTTCATAATCGTCGTACTCTTCATCGCCACGAAGTTTCCATCGCCAGTACAATCCAGATCATCACCCTGGGAATCGCTACGCGCGTCTTCTACGTCAAAACAGTGACGCGCGCATGAACACACATCATCAACCATCATCTGCGTGGATGTTCTTTGCCCTTTATAGAGGCCTCCCACCAGATGGGGTCGGCGTAGATGGGGCCGGAGGATCGCGCCACATCGCCGATGCATCACCGATACATCGGCGACGTCGGCCGTGCATCGGCGACGTCGACGTGGAGAAAATTACGCTCCACCTCGAGCCGCATCGCCGATGCTGCGGCGCGATCCTCCGACCTCATCCACTCCGGCCCCATCTGGGAGGCCTAGAGACCTTCGCCGAGCTCCTCCCTGAGGAGATGGAGGAGCAGCAGAAGGAGAAGGAGAGGAGGAGAAGGAGGAGAAGGAGGAGGAGGAGGAGGATTAGGAGGAGGACTAGGAGGAGGAGGAGGAGGAGGAGGCGGAGGAGGAGGAGGAGGAGGAGGAGGAGGTGGAGGAGGAGAGGAGGAGGAGGCGGAGGAGGAGGAGGAGAGGGGGGGAAGAGGAGGGGGGCGACTGTTGTGGGAGGGGGGGGGCATGACGTGCACGAGCTGGGCCCCCGAGCGCTCCGCTCCTTGCCAAGACAAGGCCTCTCGACGGCCCGGCGGCTCCCGTCGGGGTGCCACTGGGCCGGCTCGCAGGCGAGGTGCGGAGAGGCCGCCTGGGCGGCCCAAGGCGTAGGTCGGGCGTGTCCTCCCACGGGCGGACTGTGGACGAAAAATTAAAAATAGTCAAAACAAGTCTAAAAACTTGTCCAAAAATCGCCCCTGGACTGTTCTCTTGTATATTTGTGGATTCTCCTCGTGTAGAGGGACAAGCCCGACTGAACCCAAGGCCTCCGACGCAGCTCGAGTGGCCCGAGGAGGCAACCAAGGGAAGCGCCAGCCAGCAGAGGCCCGAAGCGGGACTGAGGAGGCCGCTCTGCAATCGTCACCCGATCGCGTGCGACTGCTCGCGCGACCCAACTCTCGGGAGCGGCCAAGAGGGGGGTGTCCAAGAGGGGGGGTGCAAATCATGACCGGCGGCATGTGCGCGGCCCGGCGGGGGGGCCAGGGACGTAATAATACAGGGAGAGGCGCCGCGAAATCTGGGGAGATGTCATGGCCCCCGCCATGATATCCACCCCCCCCTAGTCACCACCCTCCTCTTTCCCGCCCCCGAAGCTCTCCAGTGGGCAGATCCCGAGAGGCCCGATGCCAGAACGGGGCGGAGCGCGAGGCAGCATCCTTATACGGTCCTTCGCACGCGCACGTACATTCACCGCTATGCTTTTGGGGCACGTCTGCCCAACAAACAATCCGTGGCTCCAGAAGTCCCGACCGCTTCCGTAGTTGACCGATCCGGGTATTTTTGGTGGCCCTGCAGGACCCAACAGTGGGCCCCTATGCCGACATCGAGGAGAGAAGCCCGGATGGGAAAAAAGAGCGTGTCGTCGGAGATCTGTGTGTGCGCCGACCGGTGCGGCTGGCAGCGACCCCCTGGTGATGGCGCTTCTGGGCCATGCGCTTCGTGCAGCCCTCGGACTACACCCAGCGGGCACAACATTTTGCTGGTGGCAGTCTGAAACCAAACTGCTTCTCGTCACTTGCCGCCGGCCCACCTGGGCGGCTCCGCTGTGCTTTCCTTACTTGCAGCACCTCGTCGGCCCACACCTGGACGGCTCTACTGCGCGTACCCTTGCGTTCCGCGTTCTGGGCCTCGTCTTCGCAACCGACGCCGCGGCCCGGCCGCCACGGTCCCCGCTGCCGAGGCTGGCCGCGCCAGCACACTCAAGATGGAAGTTTTCCGCCTCTGAGTGCCCCCCCTCTCCTCTCTCCCCCTCCGCGGCCGCCCTGCCTGGCTTCTCCTCTTGCACGCTGGGCAAGTCGCTCTGCGGTAGCCCCGCCTAGCCCGACCGCTGGCGCAATACATCTGCCTCGCCGCCGACGCAGAAACTGTGCGCCGACCGGTCTCAGGCCCGGGAGCTGTGCGCCTCAGTCGCCAACCTTCCACGTGAGAGGCCGCTTCTCGAGAGGCACCTGCCGCCCGTCCTCGTTGACCTTCGCGGCGACGCCCGCTGGCGGCCCGGCGCTCAAGACCGCCCGGCAGCTGATCTCTGCCGCCGCCTCGCCGCGCCTCTCGTCGTCGTCGTCGTCGTCGTCCTCGTCCTCGTCCTCGTCGTCGTCGTCGTCGTCGTCGTCGTCGTCGTCCATCGTCACCCCTGCATGTCCATATCCACGGCCTGGCGGCCTGGACTCCCAGGCCACGACCCCGTGGACGCAGGGCTACCGCGCGCGCGGCGCACAAGAAGGATCACGCACTCGTCCACGCGATCGCGGTCACGGATCTGGATACCCAGACCCTGGACGTCTTGATCTTTGCGCACCGTGGACCCCCCCCAGCTTGCCATCGCTCGGACGTCCACTCCCCGTACATTGTTCGGTCTCGTGCGCACGTGTTCTCGCAAGGTGCTCCGAGGTGCTCCCCCGATGATCCCCGCCGAGAACAAATGCACACGCCCGAGCGATGCCGAGCCAGAGGTCCCGACCAATGGCCCCAGGACCAGCTTGCCATCCCGAGCGATCTGGTTCCCGACGGCCGTGGGGCCTGGCGAGGGCCCCCAGGCAGAAAGCGCCCCGTCGCGCTTCTTCATGAACCGAGGGGGTCTGTGGGGCGTGGACTTTGTGGGCCCCGGAAACGGCAAGGCCGTTTTTTCACCGTTTCCAAAAAAATGTCCCTTGAAAATGGAAACGGCGAAAAAACGGCGACCGGAAACGGTAAAAAAACGGCTCCAGGATTGGAACCGGAGCCAGAACCGGTCAAAAAACGGCGAGGGAACTGGCAAAAAAAAGGCGTCGGATCCGGCAAAAAAACGGCAAAACGGAACCGGTGAAAAAACGGCCCTGTCGCTTCCAGGGCCCACTAAGGAGGGGCGTGGATATGTGTATGCCCGTCGCTTGTGAGCCTTGTCGAGTTGGTCTCGCGGTAGCGGGCGCACAGCTCGGCCCGCGCCACGCTGCCGACCTTCTCCTCGAAGGGAGGAAAAAAAGGCACCGAGGCCGTCACCTCGTGCCCGGGGCGGCTGCGGGGAGGGGGGACAATGCAACTTGTGGCATGCGGGCGCGGAGGGAGGGGCGAAAAGACAAACTGCGCTTCACATTCGTGGATCCGCGGTCTCGCCTGGCAACGTCAATGCAAGAGGCCCTCGCCGCCCCGGCTGGATCCGCCTCGGAAGTCAAGCCAGAAGCCATTCCAAAGAGGGCAGGTTCGGGGAGCAGTGGTGGCGGCAACCCAAAACCCCACGCGTCGTTATTTTTTACATCACGCGAACCCCGAAAGATCTGGACCCCTTCCCGGGAACCGGTTTGTTCATCCTGCATCGTTGCTTGAAGGTCCCGGGGCCCAGTGAAGGCCCCGAGGGTCGAAAACTATGAGAGAAACCGTCCGTGGCGACGACCAGAAACCGCCCGTCGTGACCACCAAAAACGGTCCGTCGTGATTGTCTGGGGCGGCATCGGTACCTTTCGGTTCCCCCTCTCCACGACGGGCACCTCCGCACGGGGGCGGCTCGGGAGCTTGGCGCCCTCTGGCCGCCCAATCTTCTCGGCCACGTCGCCGCGGCACGCGCTGCCGGCGCCGGTCCGGAGCGCTGTCGGGGCAGTGCCAGAGGGGGGCCACCACTGGTCGGAGGACCACCCCTCGCGTCGTGGAAAAAAAAAATGCACGGCGAGTGAGATGTCACTGTTTCGTGGCATCGGCGGGCCCATACCGAGCCTCGGGACCGCCAGAGAACGGCTCAGGATGACACGCCGGCCCCGTTCAAGGGGTCCAGACCTCTAGGGCTCGACGTCCTGAAAGAACATTAGGTTCGGGGGAGGAGGAGGAGGAGGAGGAGGAGGAGGAGGAGAGGAGGAGGGAGGAGGAGGAGGGGAGGGGAGGAGGGAGGAGGAGTAGGAGGAGGAGGAGAGGAGGAGGAGGAGGAGGAGGAAGGAGGAGGAGGAGGAGGAGGAGGAGGAGGAGGAGGGGAGGAGGAGGAGGAGGAGGAGGAGGAGGAGGAGGAGGAGGAGGAGGAGGAGGAGGAGGAGGAGGAGAAGGAGGGGGAGGAGGGGGGAGGAGGAGGAGGAGGAGGAGGAGGAGGAGGAGGAGGATGAGGAGGAGGAGGAGGAGGAGGAGGAGGAGGGAGGGGGAGGGGGAGGGGGAGGGGGAAGGGAGGAGGAGGAGGAGGAGGAGGAGGAGGAGGAGGAGGAGGAGGAGGAGGAGGAGGATGAGGATGAGGAGGAGGGGGAGGAGGAGGAGGAGGAGGAGGAGGAGAAGGAGGAGGAGGAGGAGGAGGAGGAGGACGGACGGACGGACGGACACCACGTCGAGCAAGGCTCGGCCCCGGAAGGCTGGGTGGTCAGCGCCGTAGCGCTCAGTCGTCGTACAAGCAGAATGTAGCTTCCAAATCATGCCATGCTGCAGAGTCTGAAGCAACATCTCTCCAAGTGTTGGGTGAAACTTCGATACCTTTGCTGTTCAGGAAGGCGACGATATCATCGGCCCATCGTTTGACAGGTATGTGTGACGGTCTGCCACGTGAAGCTGCGTCCAGTTCTGCGTCCCACCTGTCGATATTCCACATCCACCTGATACTGTCTGCAGTGGCCACTCGCTGCGCCCACCTCCAGACCCGCTTTCTCCATGCAGCCATCCAACTGTCAATACGGCTCTTGCGCATCTGACGTTCGACGGTTTGTGTTGTTCTGCGCACCCATGAAACCCATGATTCCAACTCACAGTCGCCATTGCTGGTGTCATCTGGGCTGGGTTCCACCTCAGAACTGCCACTGTCAGCTTCGATGTCTCTGCGTTCTTCTACCCGCCTTCCTGCCCCCAGAATCATTCGCAACATTTTTCGCTGTGTCCTTTGCAGCTTCTGTTGCTCCGGTCGTGACAAAGTCCAAGATGCAGAGCCATACCATACTGTCGGTGCAACAGTGCTGTCAAAGAGTCGTAACCTTGATGCCAAAGAGTACGTTTTGCATGTAAGCTCGGACTTGTTAGCCATGAAAGCTTTCCACGCGTGGCGGATGCGGAAATCAAGTTCTGCTCCGGAATTTCTTGTAGATCCCAGCTGTCTTCCCAAATATTTGACGGTGTCCCCCAGCTGCAAAATCTCGATGTTCATGTCCTCGATCACGACATACTTTGCCTTCCCTTTTGCATTTTTCGTTGTGTTTGTTAGTATGTTCGTCTTTTCTGGATGCAATAGTAAACCAGCTGCTCCTGCGGTGATGGAAATATCCTTGATCATGGCTTTGACCTGCGGCAAGGTCCTCGCAAGTAGCAGCACGTCGTCGGCGAAGCGCAAGTTTGTGAGTCTTGAAACACCAGCCGCTCCCAGTTTAAATCCATATCTTGATTTGTGCCACTTTACCTTGACTTGCCGCATGATGTCCTCAAGAAGGCAATTGAAAATGAACGAGCTCAGCGGATCCCCTTGCTTCGTGCCCCGCTCGATGCTGAAGTTCCGGCTGAGAGTGTCCGTCTTGATTGTCACCGTCTGACCCGTATACAGCTTTTTCAAGATGTTGGTGTAAGCGACTGGCACGTTCTGCTTATACATTGCGTTCCAAAGCGCTTGATGTTCCACTGAATCGAAGGCCTTCTGGAAATCAAGGGCTGCAAACCAAAGTGGTATTTGAAACTCTCCAGTCTTCTCTTGCAACATAGCCATGGTAAATAAGTGATCGTCTGTGGAATAACCAACTCTGAACCCTGCTTGGTCTGGGCTTTGGCCTGGCTCCAAAACAGGCAACAATCGGTTATATAATAAACGTGAAAACACTTTGTACAGCAGCGGAATGATAGAGATGGGCCGGTAGTTTTTCGGAAGACGCTCATCTCCGGATGTATGAAGTACTTTGATGACAGATTGCCTCCAAGATTCTGGTGGCTCGGCGTCCGGTCTGATCACCTCGTTGCACATGTCCGTCAACACGTCCAGCACCACGCCGCCAGCATCGAGAAACATTTCGGCCACTACACCAGCGCTGTCAGCACACCGGTTGCGCTTGAGCTGCTTGATCGCCTTCAACACTTCCTCACGGGTGAAAGCATCCACCTTGCAATGCGGATGTTGCGCAGTAAGTGGGGTAATAGGCTCAACATGACGATGTGTGCTGTATAGGTCTTCGTAGAAAGCAGCAAAAACATCAGCTATATCCCTCCTGCTCGTCACCTGCTCGTTCTTCTCCAACATGCACGTCAGCAGCGTTTTCCGCACCTGGGTCTTGATACGCGGGATCCTCTCGAGGCCAGAAAACTCGTTGAGAACTCGTTCGATTCGAAAGGTCGCCTCTTTTTTGCGGAGCTGTTTGATTCCTTTCTGGATTGCTTTACTCAGTGTTGCGCGCATGGACGTGTCCCCGCTTTCTAAAGAACGTCTCTGCTGGATAAATTCAGCAATTTTGCTACGCAGTTCTATAAATGAAGGCTCATATGTGCTGCTGGTGTGCTTCACATTCTCGGCGGCGGCTTCGAGGAATACGAGCTCAAGCTGTTGAGAGCGAATCGACGCGTCTGTGTCCAACTGCGTCTCCCCAAGCTTCTTTTTAAGAGTAGAAGAGTAGCCATCACGATCCACCAATTCCCACGGTACTCTCTGGGACTGGTGCTTCGACTTGGCGCTAATGCGGTTCAGGACTGGCTTGAAAAGTAAGTGCGCTGCTTTGTGGTCGGATTCCAAATCAATGTCAGAGATGCTCCCAGAGTCGCATACCTGCTTCCAGACTTGTCGGTCCACCAAAATATAATCAATTTGCCTGGGCCTCTTGCTACTGCCTGTATGGGTTTCTCTCTTCCATGGCGGTTTTGAGAAAAACGTGTTCGTTATCACAAGGTTCTTCAAGGAGGCCCACTGTTTCAGCCACTGTCCTCGCGCATTTTCCTGGTTCAGTCCGTGTTTCCCGATCACTTTGTCGCTGTCGGAGCCCAGGCGGCTCCCAACCTCAGCATTAAAATCGCCACCCAATATAAATCTGAGGCGCTTGCGTCTGGCATCTTCCCGCAGGCGCGACAACATGCTATACATGGTCTGGACGTGGTCGTCGCCGTAACCGGTGTGAGGAAAATAACTTGCAACAAATCGATAAGAAATGCCATGCAATACCATATCGATGTGCATCAAACGTTCGGAAACAACAACAAATTTGCGAATTGCGCCAGCCCATCGCTTGTGTATCAAAATCGCAACCCCCCGGCTATTGCAATCGTGTCCCGATCCGGCGAAAAGGTGGCCCTCGGAGGTCTCGAAAAACTCTCGCTCGTGAACTCTCCAAGTTTCGCTCAGCATTACAATGTCCCAAAATATGTCACGCAATTCCAAAAGTAATTCAGAAAATCTGTCCTCATTCGTCAGACCACGCACGTTTTTATGATACATGTGAAACTTCGGTACGGCATATGGTATTCCAAGCGTTGTCAGTTGGACTCCGCTCTCTGTCGCATCGCCCGTCCTGTTCGTCACCGCCTGCTCCTTCAAGGAAGGGGCCGGGATATGAACACGAGGGAAATCTCCAGAAACATGGAAATATTTTCCTCTCCCACCCCCCGTTGATTTGGAAAACTGTTGAACTTCATGAAGCCGTTCTCGTACAAGTAAATGTCCTCCTTCCTCTCCGTCTCCTCCCCTGCTCTCTGGTCCTTGCTTCATGGTGTCGAGCGGTCACTCGCTCTCGGTGTCCGGGTCGCGTGATTTCTTCTTCCACCATTTCTGCATAGATGCATCCACGTCTGCCTGTACTGTCTTGGCAGATGCCGAGGTGCACAACTCCCATTGCTCGTTGTACCACGCCACCTTGTTCTCCTTCCCCGCAGTGTCCTTGATGACCACCATCTTTTTCGGCCAAATGATGTTCACATCTTTGTCTTTGAACTTCTCGGAAAGGTGGTACTTGAAATAACCCAACTTCTTTTCCCTTGCTTCCTCTTCCTTCGTCAAATTGTTGCGAAAAAATATGTTTCCCATTATGTCTTTGATATTTGGGGTATCCCGGATCTTCTTGTAAAAAGATACCTTTTTCGACAACGACTGGAAGGATAGTAAACCAATATTTGAGGGGTCTGTGGGAGAGGAAATCGTGATATCATGACCTTCCCCCATCAGCTTACTGATCATGCTCTCCAGCTCCGACACGATCTTGGTGGCCGCCACGCGCTCCTCGAAACCGAACGCGATAACCTGCCTTGTGCGTCGTTCCGATTCTGCGAGGTCCTCCTCGCCATGATGTGGTTTAGGCGATCCTGTTGAGGTTGGGATTTCTTTCACGATTTTCTTGACAATATTTGACAATATTTGGCAAGTCCCCCTTCAGGAGGAGGAGAGGAGGAGGAAGAGGAGGAGGAGGAGGGGGCCGAGACAACGGTGGCTCTCCCTGGCGTCTTCCATTCTCCTGGGTGCTCAGGAAGCGCCTCGTCGCCACGGCTGGCAAGGCCTCGGAAGACGGGTCCCGATGGAGTCCGCAAAGGGGCAGCGAGATTGGCTCCGGAAGCGATTTGGGACTTCTAGACTTTCTAGCGGCCCTCGGCCATTCGGCTCTGGCCGCGCGGGACAACAAAAAAGCATGGAAGCCATGGAACGACTCGTATGCTGGCACTTTGCGCTCCCGCGAGGAGCTAGCAACAACGCACAAAGACGTTCGGCAGAACCTCCCCGATCTCCGCGATCGTCGACCTTCCGGAGAGGGGTGGCGCCCCCCTCAGGGGCTGGCCCCCTCTTGCGCTGCCCGAGCTGTCCCAACGTGCGCTCGGGAGAGGCCTCGAGGCTCCCCCTGGCAGGAGGGCACCGATCATACGCGTGCACGTGCCCAGACATCCGAAGGATTGAACTTTCAGTCTGGGCGCTTTTCGTAGGCTCGCAGATCCGAACTTTGAAGGATTGAACTTTCAGTCTGGGCGTTTTTCGAAGGATTGAACTTTCAGTCTGGGCGTTTTTCAGTCATTCTGGCTTCCGTTGGCAGATCGCGAACTGCGCGGATCTCAAAAAGGGGTCCGGTGCGAAAAGCTAATCCCGGGGAGGCGGTTGGGACGTCGGGGGCCGCGGGCTGAAAAAGCACAGCCTCGGAGGTCTGGGCACGCCCACTCCCGACTTGACAGGAAGGCGTGTGGACCTAGCCTTAAGTCGGGCCTGTCCCTCTACAGGAGGAATATTCAAATAGCCAAAAAATAGTCTGGGGACTATTTCTTCAACTATTCTCAAACATCTGGGGATCATTTTCTGAGTATCTTTATATTTTTTTCGCCCAGAATCCCCCTGAGGGGGACAGGCCCGACCTAAACCTCTCCTTGGGCCCAAGACCTCGCAAATGACAGGCACCCCCGCACCACGCCCCCGCGGTCTGGATTCCGATTTGGACACCCGAAATGGGCACGGAAAGAATGGGTACAATGCCCAACAACAAATGTTGCCCAAAACCAACAGCGGCCGCTGTTGGGCAGGCGGCCTGCTGTCTCGAGTGGACACAGGCCGCGGCGGCGTGGACAGCGAGTCCTGTTCAAAATGAACCAGATCCGCTGTTGGGCATCGTACCCGAGGCGCGATCCCTCGGATGCGTGATCCATCGGATGCGTGATCCCCCGGCTGCATATCGTGCCCTCTTGTTCATTTGAACCCACGTACACGCGCGGGCAGGACATGCAAGCCGGATCTTCATATCGGGCCCGATATGCCCGATATGAAGAGGGCACGATCAAGTTCATATGAACAGATCTGCACGAACGAGATCGTGATCCCTCGGATGCGTGATCCGAGGGATCGCGCCTCGGATCCGTGCCCATCTCGTTCGTGCAGATCCGAGGCGCGACCCCCTCGGAGGCGTGCTCCCCCGGATGCGAGGCAGCGCGAGGCGGCCGGCCGCGTGGCTGTGGAAGGGGCCCCAGGACACAAAAATAAATACACACCCCCAAAAAATGTTCCTCATATTTTCCCATATCTTCTGGGCTTTTTTATCTTCCCCCCCACTTCCCACATGTTCCTATATTTTCTGGGGAATCGACGATTCATGGTGTCTGTGTGTGTGTTTTTTCCCCTCCTGGATGTGGGCGTGTCCCCACCCACGGCGGACCCGCTCCTCCGACGATGCGTTTCTGATCGTGACGTGGGCCCCCCCTGGATCTTGACCCCTTCGGGGGGCGGCTTGTCACCCTTTGGCGCAATCTGGTGGTGCTAGGCCAGTGTGCGTGCGGTGGCAACTCATGGGAACCTTCCTACCATCTTGTCGATTTTTCGAATCGACGCTGGTCGGCGCTAAGTCGACGCTAATCGACGCTAAATCGACGCTAATCGACGCTAGCCGGCGCTAAATCGCCGCTACCTCGTCGGCTCCCAGACGCTAATCGACGCCAACCGACGCAAAATCTTGATTTACTACCGAAGGCCAGGATGCGAGGCCAGACAGTTGGAGCAACCAGACGTTTCTTTCTCGGGGGCGCCCAAGCATGGATAAACGATCGGATTCGGCGCGCGGTCGCCAAATCCATGGATCTGGGGAGATGCCCTCCCCAAAATGCGGCCGGTGCCGCCTCGCTCGGCGGCGGAAATCCGCGATTTCCGATGGAGACGGGGCCCGTCGCTAATCCACGCCCCCTTGATCCATAGGAGGAGGAGGAGGAGGAGGAGGAGGAGGAGGAGGAGGAGGAGGAGTGCGATCGCCTGATTGTTTGCAAGGCCTGGCTCCGTCGAGGACTGGCAGGGCGCCCCCTCCGCAGACGCCCTCCGGCGAGAGCCGCTGGCACCGCGCATTCTTAGGGCACCCCCCCAGGTGTAGCAGGCAACCGACGTCCATAAAGTGAGCGTTTTCTTATTCGGCGTTTCGACATTGGGCGGAAGGGATGGGTGAGGGAGGAGGACGAGGGGAAGGAGGAGGAGGCGGAGGAGGAAGGCGGAGGAGGAGGAGGAGGAGGAGGAGGGGAGGAGGAGGAGGAGGAGGAGGAGGAGGAGGAGGAGGAGGAGGAGGAGGAGAGGAGAAGGAGGAGGAAGTAGGAGAAGGAGGAGGAGAAGGAGAAGGAGGGAGGAGGGGAGAGGAGGAGGAGGAGGAGGAGGAGGAGGAGAAGGAGGAGGAGGAGGGGGTCTGGCTCCGGACCTCTGCTTCATGCGACTGCTTGCAGCAGTGCGTCCAATGGGCGAGATCCCACCTGCTCGAAGCAGGCGCCCATGAAAAAGGGAGGGGGGGAGGGGGGGTGCGAAGGCCCGCGCCGATCGGCAAAAAAATAAATACGGAAACGATCGCTGCTAGCAAAACCGACGTCCACTAACTACCAACGTATACTGCAAAACACATACACGCACAACTCGTCGGGTAGAGCGACAGCGACGGGCGACTACACCGGTGCACTGCGAGTGCCAATGTCGAGGGGCCCCACGCGGATTTCCTCAATCGCCTTATTTGGATGGGCGTTCTCTGACGAATAGGCTCGTTGCAACTTTCCTGGTGTTATCGGCGCTAATTCCGCGAGGTGTAGCGGCGCAGCTAGTCATTATTAATGATACTCGGATTTCCCCTCGCTTCGTTCGCCCTTGCGAGCGCATGCCGGCAGGAGGGAGCGCCGTACCATAGGCTGTTTGTGCCCAGGCCAGTCTGACGAGGCGGCCAAGCCGCCGAGAGCTCGAACAGCGAGCCTACGAAACGGGAGCTATCAACACCACACACTTGCGATTGCCAATCTCGTGCGCGGACTGGCCTGGCTCAGCGCAAATCCGGCTCAAGCAATGCCGAACAACCTGCGGGCACAATTGCCTTGGTCAGAGCCCCGAATCATCAGGGGTAACTCGGGTCAGGGCTAACTCGGGTTCGTTTTTCGGGAATCCGAACCCGACTTACCCCGGACCCGAGTTACCCCGGATAATTCGGGCGTCCAGAGCCCCACATCATGAGGGGTAACTCGGGTCAGGGCTAACTCGGGCTCCTTTCTCGGAGTCCAAACCCGAGTTACCCCGGACCCGAGTTGCCCCGGATAACTCGGGCGCCCAACTTGGGGCTTCGCAAGTCCGCCTCAGCCAATAGGTGGGGGCCACCGCCATGGCCGTGAGCGGCTCCCGAGCCCGGCTCGGCCAACCTCCAGCTCTGCAGGATGCTGCGAGGTCGACTCTCCAGCGGCCCTCCAGGGCGCCCTGGGCGCCCCCCCCGCGAGCGCTCTCGGCGAGGCCCGGGGCTGGAAGACCGCCGAGAGCCAACGAGCAGTGGCCGAAAAAGCCTTGGGAACCTCGAACCCGAAACTTCCCCCCACCTGCCAGATCTGAGGGGAGAGGTGTGCCCATCGGCGGTCACTGTCAGACCTGAGGGGAGAGAGGTGTGTGCCCGTCGGCGGTCATCCGACCTGCCACTCGCCCGGGGGGCCGAGGGGCCAGCTGACGGCTATTTTTCCATTCGATGCTCTGACGTTTTGAATGAGCACCCCCACGGACGTCCCGACCTTTCCCCCCAACGGCCCGTGTCTCCTCCGGAGTGGTGAGCCCAGCAAGGCGAAGATTGCCAAAAAACTCCCGTCGCGGTTTTTGCTCAGACTCGAGCATGTCTGGTATTGCAGTGTGTTCAATTGGATGCCTCCCTGATGGCCTCGGAGTAGATGAGGTCGGAGGATCTCGCCGCATCGCCGATGCATCGGCGATGCATCGGCGACATCAGCGATGCAGCGGCGACGTCTGCGTGGAGGAGATCGCGTTCCTCGGCGATGCGGCGCGATCCTCCGACCTCATCTACAGTCGGCCTGCTGAAATAAGGAACGCGCAATAGTGAACGAAGCCGCCTTCCGGCACAAAAGCAGCCTGGATGCACGAGGATGCCTAGAGGAACGACCACGGAACGACCTAAGAAACTGCGAGCCCTTTCCGAACCCACAGCGTCTTGACTGCACTCCATCTCCAGACCCCCAACGTAGTGACTGCTTCAGAATGTCGACCCCCAGAGGTCTCGACCCCTTCCCTGGGACGGGTGCTTCATCCTGAGTCGTTGTTTGATGGTCCCGGGGCATGGGAAGGGCCCCTGCTTCTAGGCCCACTCGTATCTATCCCCAAATAGATATACAATAGTTATGACTGGTACTTGTATGATAGGTCGAGGCTTGTTCTAGAATGGAGCCTTATACATAGATTCAACTATTTAAACTCTTTCATTTCTATGTTGCGACCTCAGATCAAAGTATTCACATTGAATGTTGCTGGAAGTTATTAGCACATGCTGCTTTTCTGTATGAAACTCATAGTTTTCATCCGCGCAACATTAGTATGAATAGTATTCGTCCAATCGGTATTCGTAGCGTCATCCTTCTTATTCTTAGTCGCATGCTTACTAGTACAAGTATTACTGTTATGTATCGCATCAGTTCGCATATCACATGTCATGTCCCATGCGCAGAACGTTCTGTCCACACTTGATACAAGTGCACACCATGGAACAGACTCTCACGCGTCTACACTGTGGCTATTACCACTTCATCATTCTCATAATTGTGGTCACGGCGCCCATTTCAGCATAATTACCCTTCACATTGTTGGCGGCCCCATACGGGGCCCAGCCGAAGGCCCCATTTGGAGGGTCCGCATGGCGCCGCCGCACCACATTTGACGCGGTACACCCTCCACGCGGTTCGTGGCCCCGTTGGGAACTCCACCGGGCCCCCATAGAAGGGCGAGCAAGGCGCCGCCGCGCTTGTCTCGGCGCACCCCTCACGCGGTTCGTGGCTCGATTGGAGCCCCACGAAGGGCTGCAATGGATGGGTCCTCCTCCTCCTCGGGGCACCTCTCACATGGCCCGTGTCCGTGGCCCGTGTCTCT